TTTTCAGCTGCACCCGAAGCTTCTTTTTGCAGACAGTTGCCCGAAAAATGTGGTAACTATAAGTTGAAACAATTTAGACTATTATTTAATATCACAGTGGTAGTAAAATAAAATTATTTTAATTTAAGTTAATCAATTGGAAATTTGTATGCAACGGCAAACTATCAGAACATCGATGTTTCCTTAATATCAATATTATCGATGTCCCATCCCTACACAGAAGTAACTGTTTACGTAAATATTTTATCAATGTAAAAATTTCAGGAAAATAGAGCACAAAATCAATCCAAAACCAAAATCTTGTCATTATCAAGTTACGTATTCCGTAGCTCGTAATGCTGCGCCCAAAGAAGCATTCATAAATTATGCGTTTTACACAAAATATTGAGTTCAAAGGGCTCAAAAACTGAAATAATTGAATGGTGAACTTTCCAACGTCGAAAAAACGTTTTCGGAAGTAACGTCGCTAAGAAAAAAGTGTTATTAAGCGGATAATCTACAGAGGAAGTCACTTTTTATTATCGCAATCCAGAGGTTCCAAACCCAGAAAATTACTTTTTCTTTACGTGAATTAAACACGAAATTAAGCGGTTCTTATACACATTTTCAATAAGAACAGTTCGAGTTTTAAGTCTTTTTTGCTCAATTTTAACTAGTCAAATTTGCCACAGTAGACTGCTTTTCTATGTAAAATAGGGGTGTTCTGCTGCGATCACATCTTCAATGCGAATTTTTGACCCATTAAATTCTTCAAACCGTTGGCAAACATCAGACTTTAGTGCGATTGAAATGGAAATTTAAGCGTAGTCAACCTCATTAATCATCTATAGGGTGTGAAAGTTTCAAATTGCTTGCTTTGCTATAAATGGCAAGTTATGAATTTTTAAAGGAAGAAGTGCAGTTGATTAAAAGTGCTAATGTTCATCATGGCATATTTTGCGAACGGTTTGCTTTGATTCTGGTGGCTCTGCTAAAAATTGTGTAGCCTCTCACAATAGCTCAAGCTAAAAAGGTTCTCACGTTTTATGACAATTGAGCAAAGGATTGATCGGAGAGCGGGTATTTAATTTAGCATTCAAAAGTCGCCCCATGAACGGCGATGTTTGTTTATCTTTATCCGAGAAGCAACTTTGTTTACGCAAAATATTCAAACCAATACGATGGCGGACTGTAAATTTCTAGAAAATCGTCAATAAGAAAAAAACTTAAATCGAACAGCATATGAGTCACCCAAAGGGCCACCTAGCAAACGATTGTGAGCTCTGTAGCTTGGTGCGTTTTTTAATGTGATAAACACCTTAATTTCGCACGGGTTTTATTGGCAAGCTGTACATTTAGTCAGTCTATTATGGGCAAGGGACTAAATTGGTCGTCGGTTCTTTGCTCATAAATGGGATAAAAGTACCAAATTAGTGCTATTTAGGCACGAACGGTCGACCATCTTATTTGTTAATTGCTGAGTGTAATCTACTTTTATTTTCAACTTAGTGTGGATTTGTGCTTGTGTGTATGCTTTTTGAAGTTTATTGTATATCCAGACAATGAAGAATGGGACACAAGTTTGCCAAAAGCACGTAAGAAGGATTATTAAACTATAAACCCTTAACTTGAACTGTGTTGAGTTTTGGAGAAACATTTAAAGTTTTATTCAGTTTCCTATTTATTTTTCTTTCCAATCAAATCACTGGGTTTTCGACTAAGTTTATGTAATAATACACATTCTTCTTTTTTTCCGGGTCGTATAATGCAGCTTTCGGCAAGTTTGGCATTACTTTTACCGTGAGTGATCCTGGCCAACCCATTTAGATTTTGCGATGTGTTTTTACAATTCTTTTTTTCTTTAGCTAGCATTCATGTATATGTATATATATACATAATGCATAAGTATGCATTATATAATAATGTGTAAAATTTCAACAAACTCTTTTTTGCTAAACGATTCGTGAGAGGGATTTTCAGGGGCTGGGATTTTTTACGGTAAATTTAAATTTTTGATGTTTCGAAATTTAATAATACCACTACTACACACTACTAAAGTGCCTCAAGGTAGATGAATATATATTTTATTACTGTGTGGTAGTATAGCGGATAGCGGCTTAAGAGGCGTCCTAATTTAGGATTCGCGCAATTTTTCCAAATTTTACACACTAATAAAGTGACTTTTTACAAACATTCGGGCAAAGGATTTGCAGCGGTCAGGATCCGTCCAACTATTCCCTTTTTTTGCTCTCCAGCACCTTTCAGGCTATAATTGATCCAGATCAAGATTATAACCGGACTTGCGTCTGTTCTAAATTTAAGCCAATAAATGGCATTGAGTATTTTTGAGAAGAAATCTGAGTTATAGAGAATTTCAGCGATCTGGATTGTAGTTCTTCTTTGATACTTGATGATTATTTGATTTGATAGGGCTTTTTGTGGATTTCTTTAAATGTATTAGCCCACTTATTTTTTGTTTCCATGTACCTACTTGTTGATTTTTTAAACATTTTTTTTGCAGCTTTGAACTATTAATATTTTATTATGTCATTGTTTACTCAAAGTTAGACGAAATAGGACACGCTATTCGCATAGGGGGCAAAATCATGTATACTGCGACTAAAAACTACAATAATATTTATAACATATATTTTCCCAAAGAATCCTTACTGTTTAGACACCGTAAAAAACTTAAATTATGCTATCGCCAGATTTTCTACAATTATAAAAATTATTGTTACAAAACAAAATCAAATATCTTAGGATACCTACTTAACGTTCTTAAATAGTCATCCATACTAATTAAAGTTGCGTTATGATAAACAGTTACAAAACATAATTAGAATTTAGCCCCGTCAACGTATTTAGTTGTTCAGTACATATTGCTGCGCAGATACACCGACGTTAACTATTTAAAATGAAAACATATTATAATCTGAAACATAAATTGGCCATCAAAATTAATAATTGGTTAAAAGCTCATTGAATTGAAACAGATGCTCGCAATACTAAAAATAAAAACTGATGTACGGGGCGCTACATGTACAAAATTTCGTGCAAAATATAGAATTTTGTAAAAGCTGACAAAAATATTCTTGCGTTTTTAACAATTTACTATTGCATGTATTGACAAAATATGTTTAAAATACTAAAACTGTCATTGTATTTGATATGACGGAAAATCCGTTTATCTATCTACCAAAGTCGCAACAAATAAAAGTTTTAAAGCATATATGTCTAAAATGTAATGAAAAATGGAACCAAATGAAAAATAAGTAGTATTTGGGATTCTTCGTATCACAATTATTACTTCTTTCATGAAAGATCTTATGAGCCAATTGAAATGGTCATTCAATATACGATAATATATAACGATCTTTATGTATAGCGTCAAAACTTTAATGTTCGACATTTCTGGATGTTATAATTGGAAACTAAATATATTAAATTTGTAATGAACGGAAGATTATTTATGCTACAAAAGTTTTATCTCAAAAATAGAATATGTAATCGTTTTTGGCATACTTTTAAAAATAGATATTCAGTATTATTTTTGCTTGCACAAATAGTGGTCTCAAATTGTAAAACAAATCGAAAATCCTGCATCCAGTTTTAAAGATATGCCAACTCTCAAAATTATCAAAGGCGCCCGTGAAGTAGAAGGACTAACAAGCGAGAAACCTATCGAGAGTTGTTTTTTGATAAGTTAAACTGAAATTTCAAAATCGAAAAAAATCTCAGGCATCGGACCCCTTTGAATTAGTGTTAACAAATTAATGTTAAGTTAATATTTCTTTAAATAATATAATGTATTTACACATTTATAATATATACATGGTGGTCGATAAAAAATATTAGCAGATGCCAATAAACATTAACAATAAATGATTAAACATTAATTAAAATTTGTAACTTATAAATTCAAAAATTGAATCTTAACTTGTAATATTTTCCAGATGTACGATCGAATACTGCTGTTATAAATTTAATTGCCGATTTGCGAACAAGATTAAGCAATTTATAACTACAAAACAAATAACTTTAGGAGATTGTTACATTTTTATCGTTCAACACATATATACTATAATTTTCTAATATATATGTATAAAAAGTCAATAAATATTATACTTATATATCTATTTACATTGTATACGGCATTTCGTCCGAATTTGGAAAAGAATATAAACTGAATAACTGTTGACAGAAGGTCTCAGTCATCCAGTGATTACTGGATACTCTGCTTACTGAGTGAATGACAAATTGCACTGTCTACTGATGTACTATAAAAACTTAGTTATACATGCCTCTGATAAAGGCGGTAAAGTTTGCAAGCACTTTTACTAAAACTCCTTCAGCATGAATGTATAGCCTAAGCCAGCAGAATTTACAATAGGCCCTTAACATAAAATTTATTTTTCATTGAAAACATACTAGAATTCAAGCTTGTTGCATATAAATAAACAAACAGAAGGAATCCCCGAAAAAAATATTTTGCCATTTAATGGGCTAAAAAACCGGCTGTTGTGACGTCAGCCGTCCAGTAAAGCCTGTGTCCCATGCATCCGTTTATACGATGGTACGATGACTCGAAAGTGTTTCTATTGACTAGAGATCCGACAATTCGTCCGCCGTCGTACGAACCAATACAAACACTTTCGTATCATCGTACCATCGTATAAATGGATGCATGGGATACGGGATTAAGACCTGGCTAGCTAACTGGCGCCAGCAAGAGCGCGCTAAATTAAAATTTAAATTGTTGTAAGTAACTTAAAAACAAAAAAAAAATTGAAGAACGGTTAGTTGGCCATGAACGAACTGAATTGGCAAAAAAATAAAAATCTGCAGAGAGCCCATTGTGCGTCATAAAATAATGTCAAATGCAATTAGCAAAATACAGGTTTCAGCTAATTATCATAAAGAGGATCCAGTATAACACGTTATTTTTTCCAAAACTTAGATCAAATGAATGGATAACATTCTACCGATTAGTTTAAAATGAAGCAAGCTAATTCGGCAACATACCCATACTCTCATTGGCAGCAGGCAGCACTACGGTGCTTGCTTGGTTCCCATCGTCTTCACTATTGCTGATTTGAATCGTGTGCTGAGGTACCTGAATTTGCACGGGAATCTGAATTTGACCATTTGGACCCTATAAGAGACCAAAACTATAGTTTGATCGATCTAACTTGGACCAGCATAAAAAATTAATCTGGGTAAACAGTCGGTGTATTCTTTGTAAAACATGCGCGCGCGAAATATATATGTACAAACGTGACTTAATCTAACTTATTTATCTGATCTAAACATATTGAGTTCAATGTTTATTTATTCATTATTTTTTAATTATGGAGGTCCACGGCGACAAAAAAATTTAGAAATTGACACTATCAGATCTTCAGAACTTGATACCTACGTCATTAACATCTTCTTAACATCTTAATAATAACAGTAAAATATTGTCATTGATAAGAATCAATAACATGATCTGAACTCATGAATTTCCACAAATGAAACCATTCTGGTTCTACCAAGTTTAGCGAAACGAAAAGCCAAATGACCTTTGCATTACTTTAAAACAATATCGTATTGAAATGAACGGAATGAGAGTACAGGAAAATATGTTTGTCGGCGCATTCATAGCAACTCTAATTTAAAGCAGTAGTGAATGAAAAATGATCAATTTAAGAAAAGGAACTGCACAAACCTGTATGGTAACTTGAGCTGTACCATTGGTTAACCCCGATCCTAAATCTCTTTGAACATCTTCGGCAGGAACACCTGTCTTTAATATTGCTTGTGCCCGTTCCGCCTGTTCCTAAAAATATTCAATAATTAGAAAATTGTTTAGTAAAATAAGTAATTGTCATACAAGGTGTTTCATGAGGTTGGGGCATTATTTTAACCACTTATTCTATGTCCGAAAATAACCCGTTTGTTATAGAAACGAGTTGAAATTTAATTTAAAAGAAATTCGAGAGTTGTAGTATGTTGCGAGAATGAGTATTTAATTGGCAGCTTATTGAAATACTTCAGCATCTGAAAAGAAAAATTACGATCTTTACTTTAAATTACGAAAATTTCGATATTAAAAAAGTAATCTTCGACAATTTTTCGATTAAATTTTGTGAAAATATCTGCGTTTTCAAGAAATTTATAATTTCGCATTTTGTAAATTACATTTCAACACCCTGTATCACCAAACTAGGGTTATTTTCGGACCAAGAATACGTGGTTAAAATAATGCCCCGTCCTCATGAAACACCATATCATCAACAAAATGCAAAATACTTACTTTCGCTCTTCGAGTGATATGACTTCGGGTATGTTTACGTAGATGGTCTTTTCTGTAAAATCCTTTACCACATTCACCGCATATTTCTGTTTTTTCTCCTGAGTGAATGACAAAATGGAGGTTCAAATGTTCTTTTCTTTTAAATCCTGCAAAGAATATGGTATCAGTTCATTCACGTGTGTGGTGCAATACCTCAGTGCCGCAGTGGGCTGCAGGTGTTATTTGCTAGGATGCCGAAAATGGGACACCATGTACATTTCTTAGGTTAAAATGAAATAAAACAGTTATCAAAAAAATCTTACCTTTCATGCACACCGAACAGACGAAAGGCCGCTCAGGATTATGACCTAATTTATGCCGTTCTAAATGTTCTTTTCTCTTCAAGCCTGCGCCGCAAATGTCGCAAATAAAACGTCTCTCAATTTTGTGACTCACTAAGTGCTGTTCCAGCAACTCCTTCTCTGGATAAGCCATGTGACATTCGGGACAACAAAACAATGTTGTACCGTCAAGTGCTGTAGCGATATGAACCTGAAATTAAATATAAAAAAAATTATTATTTGCACTGATAATTGAATCAAAATTGTATAGAACATAACATTAACATAACATAACATTAAGTTTACATATTTATGAAATACATTATATATTATTATACAAATACATACAGGTTATTAAGGATGGATACTTAGTTGATCAGACAATGTCATATTTCCGCGCAACGTTCTTTCATTTTTGTATGCAAAAATGCATTTGCATTGAAATTCTTATTTTTTCATTGTCTATCAACGTTCCAAATTCAAGAACCCAAATATACTGACCTGGCCTGGTTTTGGCTTCTTTGGCTTGGGGGGTTTTTTCTTGTATTTCTTTTTCTTTTTGCCCTTGTCATTCGGGTCTTCGGGAGATTGTTCTACAGGCATCTCAGTCTCAATATTGCTGATCATCAGATGCTCCTGCAAGTTGAACTAATTTTGGAAGATACCAAAATGGTTAAAATAAATAAAACAAACACAAGACACTACACTAGAAAGCAAATGAGGATATTTAAAATATATGCAATAACAGAATAAATTCTCCATATTAACTTTTTAAATATCATATTTTAATGTTACATGCAATGATGACAAATAATGTTTTCTTAAATATTCTATTTACTGAAAACTGATTGTTTTTAATTCGATATACTTTCTACAAATATACTAGAATTTATGGCTTGACATTTTTGTTAGCCGCTTTCAAAACATCGTCTTAAAACGAACTCTAAAGTTTGAAGAATGTACTTTTTGATGTTAACAAAAGGATGGTGTGAAAGACAGTGCGAATCGCGAACACAAATAAAGTACATTATACTCGACCTACCTGATCATCAGGGGTAGCAATGCTCACTGCTTCAATAACACCTTCTTCATTGATTAGCTCTCTTTTTATATCTGGGCTTGTATTAAATTTGAGAAATTGGTGCAGCGACGTAAGAGGCAACGATTGAGCTTGCATCTGCAAAATACGCCAATTCAATAACGAAAATGTCCCACTAGCAAATTAATTGATTCTATTAATCTGAGTGCTTTGTTGCTTTTGTAGTTTCATAGATTTTCACAAACTTGTGCACAAAACTGGATTTACCAAGCACCATTAAAATCACCAACATTGTTTAACACACAAGACATTCATTCTAGATTTAATGATGGTCTACGTGCAAGATCGTTCAAGGGAGTGTATAAGCAAAGAGCACATTGATGAATTTGGTACAAAATTAGGCCAGATAACAAACACATCTAGAAAAATAAATTCATATTGAAAAGAAATAAGTTAAAATAAAGTTTTCAGCTTTCTAACGCAGAGGGTCTGTGCAAATTTTTTAAGCAATGTGACTGATAATTCTGTTTTAAAAACCAGTAATTAATTTTGAAAACTTCTGAACGTAATAAGTCGATGCTTACCTTTTGTAAATACTCTTGTAAACTACCAATGCTTTGCAAATACTGGGCAGGCACGTGAATAGCTTCTGGCTCCGTTTGTTGAGACATGTCTGAATCTTTAGGCATTTCTAATATATAAAAGAAACATGATTAATATCCAAATCTAGAATACACTACTAATTATAATTACCTGTTTTGATTAGAGTAACGGACATACCCTGCTGTTCCTCATTCTTCTCACTTTCATCTTTAATTTCAAGGGATTGCTGTTGTTGCTGCTGTTGTTGATGTTGCTGCTGCTGCTGCAGCTGCTGCTGTTGATTCTGCTGCTGTTCAATCTGAGCTTGCAGCAGCTGAATATCTTGAGGTTGCAATGCAGCAACAACCGTCATTCCTTCTAAACCATTTTGACCATCTAACTGGGTAGTCATACCATTGTTAATAATTACCAAGCAAAATAAACAGATAAAGCACTAATTAACTTACAATCTGCAAGCCATCTTGACTGCCGTTGTAGGCAACAGTAAGAACGGTGGCACCCTGCGTGAAAGTTTGAAGTGGAATTTGAGACAACTGATACTTCGGGCTGCTGCCTCCACTTGGTTGGGGCGGATTCACCACCTGATAAAAGCAATTCTGCTTAAAAAAATTAGTCTTGCTTTTCAACGTTTTTGTTTGTTGTCGAATCAGTCGTATTAACTATTTTTCCAAACTTTCTAGTATTTTTAGTACACACTATACGATTTAATTATTTAACCATACAATACAAACATTACATAATAATTGGTTTACGTTATATAACTACAACGAATACAGTTTCTACGGAAAAAAATTTTTATGTTGCAAGGGTTGACAACATAACTCTTTAGTGATAAGGAGTCGGCTAAAGGAACATTCAAGGTGTTTAGTATTACTTTACGTAAAATAATATTAAGAGTAATTCTTAACGATGATTCGTTTCCGGAAATTGGAACGAAAAATTTGATTTATTAATAATTAGTTAAAATTGATAATCGTTGAAAAACGCCCAGCAATGTGAGAATAAATTCACGGTGAACCACGATTGCGCCGTTTGAAACGAATGCAATCAAGATTAAAACACATGATCGCAATTATGCAAAATTTTATTTTTATTAAAAATAAATGTGTGATGTTTATTTAAAAACATTTAAAAACGGACGTTTGGTTATGAGTAAAATAGAATGAACCCTTTACGCATTAACTAACGAGATCATACGCTTTATCCCTGTATTGCGTTTTCATGAACAAAAAATCAATTAATTCGGGTAGCTCAAGTTAAATTGCTTTGCAGATATCACCATTATTGAGTTATCGTCCAACAATATATACTTACTGCTATTGATAAACAGTGTCAACAATTTTCACACTGATCCGTAGTTATTCATTGTGATGGCAAGTATTGCTAATAACCATAAACTTCCGATTGGCCAGTCAATGATTCACATAATCGAATGTACACACCGAATAAATGCAGCAAGCCGATTATAGTATTAAATACTAGACTAGATTACTTTGAAAGAGGTACAAAAACAAGAGTTTAATCTCAGCAAAGAACAATAAATCAGTGCGATTACAACGTTGATAGTTCGCTCTCATTACTGCCACTTTCAGAATAGAACTTTTCTGTGGAAAATGTAATTTCCAGCAAAAATGATATGTACGCATCCTTTGGAATAATGGAATATGGACGGATTTGTTAACGCTATTGAACCACAATGAATGATTAGGACTAATTTGAAGTTCGTCCAACTATACTTCATAACAAAATTGTATTCTTATATAAATGAAAAATATAAATATATTTCAAAATACTTAAAATTTGATGCAGAATATCCATTATGTGTAGCGTCGCCGACTCTCTCTGTATAGTGCTTAGGGATGGTCGGTATTTAACGTAACCGCTAAAATAACAGTAACCTGAAACTAGTTACTGAAAATAATAAAAAATAATAGTAACCGGTAACCTGAAACCGTAGTTACAGCTGCCCGATTTAATTGGTTGTTTTTGGAACCGTCTGATAAGACCGAAACAGTGGTTTGCGCTTCGCACCAATACAGAACCGGTGCGGCACCGTCGAACATTCTATCCAGTTGCAGCAGTTTCCGTAACCATTTTTCAAGGGAAAACATGATTAGTTGCGCGTTGCCTTGATGATTCTGATCTCTTTTCGTTTACAAGAATTACTGTTCAGTTCTCCAGGAACCAGCGAAAAATTGTTTAGTTGCAGCGATGATATAACTCAGCATTTTTAGTCTATAAGGATTTAGTTTTCTGACATTCTGTAATAAATCTTAAAATCTTTTAAAAAGGGGTTTCTCTCAAGAAACTTAGCTCGGGAGTTATATGTGGTTAAATGTAGTTATAAACTAAGCATCTATGTATTATTACTATTACTATCCAAACATACTTATTAAATTTTGGGGACGCTACCAGACCCTTAATAAAAATAAATACAGTTTTAAGCCATAATTAATGAGCAACGACTGTCACAAACCAACTTGGTAACAATACGCTCACGTGAGGTATGATGTACTGGATCTGCCCAATTAAGGCAATAATACCAATTTAAGTAAAGATAATAGCAAAAAACAAAGCCATTAAATTTTCCTGACTTGACTTAGATGTTCAGATTGGTGATCAAGTAAAATATTAAATAGACTCCTTTGTTAATAAACTCGGCTACTCTACTTTCACGAGACTGACTACATTAACAACAAATTGGTTAATTCTCTAGCAAGTAACCGCATAGTATATTCTGGAACGTTCACATTTACCTGAATTTGTACTGTTTGCTGGGGATCACCTGGCTTTGATCCGGGCATAGTTATCGGCAAAGTAATCACAGTTTGCCCCTGTTGCCCTCCGCTAGGGCTTCCAGGGGCTTGCGAAAAGGCACTAGCGTCCAGGGGTCTAATGTAATGAATACCATTTTCTCCACCTACAATTTTAAAGATCAGTTTGGGTGTATTAGCAATTTGTTTAATACCTTGCTGCATTACGTAAACCTACTAAATGTGACGAACTTTGAGTATAGTTTATCATATAAACTTATTCCCTTTGCAATTTAATTTTGCTAACTTTTCATACAATCGCCAGAACTCGCACTTTTTTTAAAAACACATGTCCATGACTTTTGCGTTGACGATATATTAGTGCTTTTCAAATAAACCATTATTCCGTAAAGAATAATCAGCAAAAGCGAGACAGCATTAAGATAATTTGAGAATGCTTCGAGTATTTATGTTTATATATATAATTTATTGCGGGTATGGCAAAAACGCTCGACAGACGATTGATGACGTGCGCCCATAGTTATAGTGTACGGAGTATATTCTCTTAATGACTTAAACACTACTTTGATGTGCAAAATAATCCAGCTATTGCAGCTTTTGTTATTACTTCCGTTTTAAAAAAATCAAAATTTGGCAGGCTATTATAAAAAAATGCAATAGTTGGCACAGTAAAGAACAAACCTTGGAGAACACCAACCACTTGGCCGTTGGGCGTGGTGACGCTTTGGGTGATCTTTCCAGCAGAGAACTGGGTTGCAACCGGCAGGGCCGCGGTAAGCGGCACCCCGAAGGAAGCAAAATTCATATTATAATAATCAATTTTGAAAAATATCTGAAAAAAAAAACAATCATGTAAATTGAATTAGAAAATATATGAACAGATAAAGTATTAGGTAAGCCAATGCATTTTTTGCATGTACTTTTAGTACAAATGATTTAAGAAATATTTCCTTAACTATAGTATATTCTTATGACCCTTATTTGAAGGTACAGAGTGAGGTAAAACGGATGGTGATCTAACACTACCTGTGTGCAGTAATAAGTTTTTCCTTTGCAAATTTTTCTCAGCAGTATTTTGCAAAAAATATTGCATAAAAAAATTAGCGACGTATCACTGATTCGACTAAAAACAAAATATACACCGCTGGTAGACCGCAATGTATGTAAAATTTCATTAAAGCGGTCATTCAAGCTTTCTTCATAGATTACAAATTTTGTTTTTTTAATGAGATATTTAGCGCCATGTAGATCGACAACAATGCGCTCTCGGAATATAACATATCCCAAATGACTTGTATACTAAAATCTATTGCAAGAAATGCATTGACTTACCAAACAGTCTGTATGTAAAATTATATAAATAAATAAATACGACAGAATTAACCTTTGAAGTTAATTCTGATTAGGTGTAAGTAGTGTGTTGAAACAAAATTATATTAAACTATAATATATGATGCACTGATACTGTCAGCACATTTGCATCTAAAGAATCTGATCTGAAGATAAAGATCTGAAAAGACCTGATTCTTATTATATTTGCATCAATTTGCTTTTCCTCAACAAAAACCGTAAATTTTCTACTACCTACATTAATTCTAAATGTAACAATAACATAAATATCTTTATAAATAAATAAAGTATGATCGGAACACAGGGTGGCCCGAAGTTAGGTTCCATAAGCCATAAAAGTTTCATAAAGTCACAAAAAATTCGGATTGCCAATGTAAAAAGCGCAAATCTCTAATTTAAAAAATCGTAATTTAAAATAGTAATGTACGTGTCCAAGAATATTTCCAAAAAATAAAACTTCTTGATTTAGTGAATTTATCCCTAACTAGAAACTTGCACTATATATAAAAGATATCTAATTCAGTTCTTATCGGAACGTAGTATTCTGATTTACGGCGACTCGGGTGAGAAGATGAAAACGAAAGAGAGAATGAAACAACAAATATGAGTTTCCTGGCAAATTGTTCGAAAGAGCCGCATCCCTACAAACGCAAATAGGAGTTAACCGATAATAAAGAGAGGCGTAATACGGGACATGCTTTTGAGACTCAGCAACTGGCAGCAACGAGCAAAGAAAAGGATAAAGAAATTAATTTCAGGATTTTACTGAAATCAAAGGGACAATCAAGTGCAATACGAGACAATTTAAAAAAAAATAATTAGTATCGAAATGTATGAAAGAAGGAAATGCGCTCATAGCGAGAGGAGGCAAATTTGTTTCGGAACATTCGGACTATTTCATTTATTTAGACACTGCTTAAGGTTATTACATATTCATTGAATAAGGGCGATTTCTTTATTCCCATTCGAGTATCTTCTTCTCCAGATACCTTGCCTGTCTTCAGACGTTGGCTATCATCATGTTTACGAATCCTGGAAATTCATCTCTTGGCTGATATTTTTTTACCTTCTACTTTTCCTTACTCACTTTTGCATTATGAGACGCAATAGCTGGTATTTAGGTCCTCTAATTATATGTTCAAAGTATTCCGTTTTCCTCCTATATCAGCAGTTGTCGTTCTGTGTCCATAATTCTGAAGCCATGCTCATTTGTAGCATGCGAGGCCCACTATTTTTAGTATTTTTAGAATTTGGCGGTAGCACCACAGTTTAAATGCTTCTAGCCCATATTCACCATTGTTGTTGGTCACAGTGGTGTGATGCCAAATACATCAGATTCGATCCCCGGCCAAGTAAGTAAGTTTCAATCGGGTTGTCTAGCGCGAGTACAAAGCATTGTTTTTGCGACAGCTATAGTTAACTTGTTACCGACAGGAACATTTCTAAGTCTTCCACTAAGTATTAGAATGTCATAGTTAATAAGAGTGACTGTAATTGCATTGATATTAAATGATCATGGTGTTGCAATTTATTTATCGCTCGCGCAAATCAGTATAAAAATTATCTTGCAAAAACCCTGTTCTACTTCAGCTTATAGACAATAATGATAACCACGACTGCTATATTCCCATGTAAGAGCATCCTTGACATTTTCGGTTTTGTATCTATTATTTCTATTAAATCTCTAGAAATGATTTGCGTAGTCCTCCGCAGTAAATACCAGCAGAATGTAATCATACGGAACCGAATAATCAATTGCAACAGTTATGTTGCTAAAAATTGCACGTAGGAATACACATCGATAAACAACATCCAGGTCTGATTACCTCGTATAATTAAAAGCTATCGATCAACCATCAGCAACTTTGAAAGAACTGAAGGAAACAGTACACCTGTCGCGATAGTGGTACCGGCGTCCGGATCCCCCAAAAGTCAGTTCAGAAGTCCACAATGTCCTTGAGGAACCCCTGCCCTTATCATCTACTGGCTCCACTCTTGCACCCACGGAACACAGAGGGGATGAATCGACACGATACAAGAACGGCACCACCACGCAAAACTCACTCGTACGGTACCTACTGCCCAAGCCATCGACTTCTGAAGAAGGGGCCACTGTACGGTACTGCGGTTTCTAACGGGTCACGTGGCCTCGGTACCGATGCGTCTGTCTTTTTCTAATTTCCCATGAGCAAAAGAAATGGCAGACTTTATAGAAGAGAAATCGCGTCGAGACCTAGTTACCTACATAAAGAGGTACTTTCACCTTTTTCAGGCCCGACATTACTACCTGGGTATATTTGTTTTCACATAACATGTGAACGTAGTGGAGAAATCGGCGTAGAACACGTTCACTATTTTCCAATTTTTTTATTTCTCTAATAGTGTAAATCGAAAAATATGTCATTACCGTGAAGCGTCAAACTAATTAGAAAGCATCACAGTTCACTAAGTATTTTTTTTCGTACGTACCTAATAAGATTAAATGTATCGCATCGAATACTTTAATAATTGCATAGGTCTCAAAAACCGTTGATCTTAGGGACAACAACTAGGTATGTCTTTTTCCATTAGAAGATATGGGAAAACAGATATTTGGATGTCAGTTGTCACTTGCCAATATCAGAAGAAAGGTAAGAAGATTTTTAGGGGAATCATTTGGTGCAGATGGCGCCCTCTATGATCTTAAAACTTAATTTGCTAATCAAATTTTTCATCCGCAAAAACTCCTGAATACCAAGTTTTAGTGAAAAAGTTACCAATTTTTTCGTGCTGTATTTGAAAAATAACATTGAAAAAATTGCTTCGACTACCTATAATTCAGTTTCCGTTCACCTTTCTGCTAAGGTAAGTTGTTCTAGATCATTTTATTTCTTTACAGGAATCCGCTATTAATTTGTTTACCCCTGTATATCGATATCAAACTCGCCAAATTCCCCCTCATCAATTCAATTATTAAAATTTCTTCTTTACAAAAATGAAACTTTTTGCGCATCCTGTAAAGATAATTTCATGCTTTAATTTGCCAATGGTAACTGTATTGGATTATGTTTGTGAAAAATATTTTCCAATGCAATTTAATAGAATAATAGTTTATTAAATGAACGAAATTAATCAACTACTTCTACTACAATACTGGTCTGGTACGTGCCAAACAAAAATGGTTTAGACCCGAGCCAAAACGTTTACCTTGAAGTTAGAATAAAGATGTCCGACAAATGTGTATTCATAGAAGCTCAGTTTTGGAAACCGGCAGATAACTTTGCCTAATTGTGGTATCATCAATTGACAATACTTTTATGTATACAGGGTGATTCAAAATTGGAAAAAGAAATTAATTGTTATTAAAAACTGAGAAGTTTGCAAAAAACTATATCAGAAATACGGCAGCAATGTTTTTCAAGGTAATCTGCCTAATTAACATTGCGCAAATACCTGTTGCTTCGTAATTATTTAACACTCCGATAACCATACAGAGTGACAATAAGATAGACAAGGATAAACGGTAAATTCAACAGGAGCCGTTGAATGACGGAACCTATTTCGGAATGTCAACCTGTTCTCATAACCTCGAATATTGGTGTTTATAAATCAACCATACAACACCAAACATTTGAATGGTTAACTCCAAACAAGCTAGTGCCTGTGTAATCTCCTTATTATCCACTATTATTAAGCAGCCTCTCGTATTCAGTTAATTAACTCTTGCTCCATTTGTATCTCCTTGTGCTGTGTGTATCGTACAAACGTGGTAGGAATGTAGCCCTTCCTCGGTATTTATTTGGTGCTTGGGAAAGTGTCAGTTA